ATATAATTAAAGAAATATACTTTTGTTATTTTAGCTAATTTAAATATATGCTGTGCATGACAGATGTTTTGTTATTTGAGAGTGAATTAATTTACCCAGATAAAATTAAAAATAGTCAAAAGTAAATAAATAAAAAAACATTCTTAGAGGCAACTATCCAGAAAATAAAAACTCTTTTAGCTCTTCTAAAATTTTCAGAAAATAATTACTATTGTAATTTCAATATATTATATACATCTTAACAAGTTATGCAGTAGATACATTTAACAGGGATATTTTCCAGTAATGATAAAGCACTTATAGGACCTGCTGCTCTACAAGTTTAGCTACAAATTTTTTCCATTAACAAAAGTAGCCGACATCATCATTTCAGGCTGAACTTACCTCATGCCTTTTTCTCCGATGAGGTCAAGACCCCTGATGGTGGTCGAAACAGGAAGGTTGTCTTTTCCATGGAAACGCCAGGAGGCCGAGCGGTGCTAGCATCAACCCGGCTACATGACGACCCAGAGCGAGCTATGTCCATGCGGTCTACAGCCAGCAGCCCCAGGTCCTCCAGCCTGGCAGCGGAGACCAGGGGACAGGCACACAGGGAGAGGCTCTGTGCTGGACTGGGCTCTGCTTGGAGGCTTTTTCGCCCCTCTCCTTCCCTGAATGAAAGCAATCCCTTGGAGTGAATGGGTAATGAGAGACCGGCTCCTGAGATTTTAGCTTTCTTAATCATGTTCATAATTAATTCAAGAACATTGATAATTTCATTACATTCTTTTTGTCTTATCAATAAATGATGTGGCTGCACTTTTGGTCTTGTGTATACGGGGAGAGGGAGGACAGAAGGGAGAGAGAGAAAGGACACCGCCGAGTAATACTGCACTAAAAGCACATGAGATGGAAAATGATACAAACAGGGAAGTGGTAATTATAAGCTTTGACCAAGCCACTGGCAGCACAATATGAAGTCAAGTGGCTACAAATAATTAATAAGGCCTCATGGTGGGTGGGTGTATGGCGACCGAGTGGGAGTGGGCTACTGCTGACGAATGTTCTTCGCTACAACATTATTATATCTTATGTGCTCCTATAGGTCACATCTTTATGAGATAGAGAGCAGGTAAGGCTTTTTACCCAGTAAAGTGTCAAAATGGTAGTCTGCTGTTTAAGATAATTGGCTGTATTAGCAAAGTTGGCATAATTAGAACTATTTTTTTCAAACAGTGTTCTAACACACTCACACTGCAACATTAAGCCATAATATGATATGAAAATGATCTGGTTAATTATTTGTGGACTTTTATATATTAATTTTAAACAGTTTGTGTAAAGTCTCATAACCAAATAACCACCTATCACTACTTACATTATGGTAAAAATGTATGTTCACAAAGAAGAACTTTGTGCCAGTTTTAGTTTGTGTCAGTAGGTCTCAGAAATTGCCATTATTAGCTGAGTGTAGATCATTCCAAGATCATTTAGAATTTTCAGCAATAAATTCTGCCATACATTTTTCATTTGTCTTTTCTCTCAGTCTCAAAATGTATGTTTAAATAATGTTATGACATCTGTTGAGCACAACGTATCGTGCGCTATTGTATTTATTTACCGTATACAGCATTGTAGACCATCGCAGACATAGGGGCAGACATCCACAGTAAATCGTCACCTCTGAAGGGTCTGCTTGGTGCCCTTCACTTCCAATAAAGAGTTCAGGTTTCAGGGCATCAGAGCTGTTATTAGGAAAAAGACCACAGCCTCTATCCACTGCTGGATCAAGAAAAGAAGAGAAAAAACATGGTGTCACTTCATAGCATGTGGCATATATGGTTTCTTGTAGAGCAGGAGGAGTAATGACATAATATGCATTTTTAATAAATCATCATCATAATGTTTGATAACCTTTCACCTCTGCAAACGCTGTTATGGATTCTGTGCTTTATCAATCGAAAGTTCGTGTTCAAAACAGAGCTGGAAATAGAACCAGAAGCAGGGCAAAGGGAGGTAATTGATATCACAGTTTCCTAAAAATACTGTGAGGATGATTTGTCTGTGGACTGGGCCTGAGCCTTCTTCACTTCCCTCCAAAACAAGATGAATTGTTGGAGGTGTCAGGAAAAAGACAGTGAAGGATTGACCATCCATTTACAGGTCTGAAATCTGACCAAAATAGTAAGGCTGAGTGTACTGTTAAAACAATATGACTGTTGTAATTGCAAAACATTAGAGTTACTGAACTGTTATTTAAAGTAAATATATTTTTTATAAACACTTCCTGACATTATTTGTTGTTTGAAATTGAAATGTAAAGTAATTTTGTTATTTTACTTTAGCTTTTGTCTTTGGTAAATTAGACAAAATCAAAAGCTGTGACAGTTTACATTTAAGTATTTGCTACATAATTTTAAGAAAACCTATTACGAAATCCAATTTTTATTTAAGAATACTTAGGTACATTTTCAAGTTCTGAAAGAATAAAATACATTTTGGGCCTAATTTTCTATTTTGATAAAAATTCTTGAGCAGCTGCATCACAGAGGGCCATGTGATTCTGACAGGAGCTAATGGATTTCCAGTATGACACACTGTAACACAGATAGGTAAAGCTATATGAGCCATTAGAGATTCAAGCACTTTATATCCTATTTATTTCTTGTGTGCCACAGGCTTTAGTCCTGAGATATGACTGGCCAACACAAGAAACCTTTAATAAAATACAAAAGTAAAGAGGTGAAAATAGAGATTTACAACCAGCCATTTTGACAGTGGACTTGATATAAGGTGTTCATAACAAGTTTTGCATTTTATTCCCGCTCCCCTCACACACATTTGAATCATATTTTATGTGATCTATGTATGCGGCTCTCATCCTGTCGCTGTCACCCCTCCTCAGCACTGTGTCCCTCTTAAACAGATTGCTACAATACTTGTAATGATGGGCCTTCCCAGCTGTGTAGCACCAGAATGGAGGGAGCTATAGTATTACCATAATGCCCAGCCCTGCTCAGTCCCAGGGGTCCGTGCGTGGGGATGTGGGTAGCTCAGTGGAGGGGCCTGGGCTGTGACAGGCTCAACCTGCCCTGGGCCATGTAATAAAAGCTGTGGTGAGATGGTGGCACTGCTGCTAGAGCTGCAGAGGATAAATATAAACTAGGCCCACATCAAGGAGCTGGCCCTGCAGTCACAGCCTGACTTACATCCTAATAATTAGACCCCCATCCAATAAAACCCGGATTTGTAGCTATGCATCTATTTTACGTGTGTTTACAGCAGCAGGATGCACAGGATAGGAACTTAATAACGGAGAAAATTATCAAAATTTTCTGCACTATCTCAAATTTTACAAAAGGGAATAAAAGACTCCATAAAATAAACTTGGACACTAATAACCAAAAAGTTTAAATTTTGAATATAACATAACAACACATCAAATTAAAATCATGGTTGCAATACCCTGCTATACTGTTTGATAGGAACAGCTCAGTTTGGGTAAACAATCTAAGCATTTTCCAAATGTTTACACTGACAGCTGTCATATGAGGCATTTATCCACATATGAAACTAGGCCTGATGTGAAAGTGAGCTCCTCCTCTGACAGGGGCCGGGCAGTGACAGTGCAGCAGGGGGGATCAGGCTAATTAAAGAAAGCATTTGTCACAGATTAATCCTTAAACAGAAAAGGTCATCTGGGCACCAGTGCGTAGTGTGGCGCTGCTGTGCTCTTAGGGCAGTCTAAACCTTTCTCTGCTAAATGCTAAAGATGCTATTTGGCAGTGATGGGGGAAGGGAGCCTCCAGCCTCACCAGTCTGAGATTGACACTCGGGTCATTGGTTCTTTACTGTCCATTACACATGCTGGTCAAAGCTGGCGATCGGTGTCATTTAGAGATGAAAAATAAGCACTGGGACAAGATCAATAGCAGCAGCCGTCTGTACCAGCAGTGATTAATTGACTGTCACCAATTAAAGCCTGGCCTGTTGCAAAGCAATGCAAACAGGGCATTGTGAGATGTTGGATCAAAATATATTTTGTCATTGTTATTAATATTTTTGAGTCTCTAATGGGTATTCCTGGATAACCTTTGTTTATTATTACTAAACCACAGTTGAAAAAAGTTTATTATAGAATAGTTTAGCTCAGTTTTACTTAATTCAGTGTCAACTTATAAAGGCATAAGATAACACAAATTGCTCTAAAATGTTATAAATAGGTCTGGCCTGGTCTTTTTTTTAAGGTTAACGCCATGAAAAAACAACTAAACAAGGTGCTTAATGGAGATGTTTTTAAGGGTCAGTGTACAAGCCTATTTGTAGTCAGTCAATTGTAATCATATTAGATGAGGGGAAAGATTGTTCTGGTTAGAGATACGATGAAGAGCAGGACATGTTGGTTTGGGTATGAGTAATGGGTCTGCAGAGATCAACTGTGCTGGTGAGGCCATTTTAAATCTACACTCAAAATTATGGTAATGGTAGACCACTATGAGACATTACTTATAAATTAGTCTGTGTACCTGAGATGAACGCTATTCATCATCTTTATAATAGGCAGTTTGAAAAGTGCAATTTCAAGTATTTAACCCCATTGTTGAAAAAAAGAAAAGGTTAGATAGGCCCATGTTTTGGGATCTGTAGCAAGAAATCTTATTGCTTATGTTAAAACATTTAAATGAGGTATGTGTATTATTTTCTTTACGTTTAACTTAATCCCATTTAAACCACAATCAAATAAATATTACTTTATTTTAGTGGTAAAGTTATAAAACGGATTTGGATTAGTTGAGGGGCTAAAACGCACGCTAGTTAAATTATAACGAATAGGTCTAGTTAATAAAACCCAGTCTCATACACATATACTAGCAGAAATACGATGCAGTATATATGTATTAACTAAGTTTGTGTTGTTTGGATGAAATACTAACCTGTATTTTCTAAATTGAAGACTTTTCTCTTTGCCGAATATTGCGCACGCACCTTTTGTGTCCTCTCGGCTCTCCGTAGCAGACAGACGCTACTGGGGGGGTCGCCATGCTTGAGCTCTGGTGGGAAATTTGTAACTTCTTTGAGTAAGTTTGCACCGTGTCTGCATTGTCTCATCCCTCAAAACATGGCTCTAAACTTTCAAGCTTCAACACTGTCGCTGACCCTGCCGATTTCTTGCCAAATATGTCTTGGAAAGGTGAGTCAACTATGATATTTGACGTTTTACGGTAATCGTTGGATTGTTTACAAAATTCTTGGCAACCCCAGCAACTTCCTAACCGAAAAGCTAACGTTAGATCACGCTTTTCTTCACGCCATATATCGTTTTTTTTGTACTTTTTTCATTTTTCTCGTTTGGTAATGTATGCACTAACACTATAATTATTTTAAATAGGTCAGACAGCCCGTGATATGTGCCAACAACCACGTGTTCTGCTCGAGTTGCATGGAAATGTGGTTGAAGAAAGCGAGTCAGTGCCCCACATGCAGAGTGCCCATCACACCAGAGAACCCCTGCAGAGAAATCATTGGTGAGTACCGATCCGGATACATAAACGGGGAGGTAATCTGATGAGGCTTCAGCTGCCTGTAGGCCAATGTAAATACAAGCATCACAAACCTGAGAAGGCATATTTGGTTTCATAGAGATGAGATTTATTATCCAGGCTTGTGATGGAGGTGCATGTCTTCATAGCAGATGAGCTTCTAGTTATTTTTATGGTGTTCTTGTGACTTGTGAATGCAATGATGCTAATTTTATTTTACCATTTTGGCCTTATTGTCTGTAGTATTAATAAATCACATGTGTGCCTAGACATAGTCAACTCTTATCTTATCTTAGTGATCAGGTTTGTTTTAATGACTTAATGTAAGATAAGAGAAGGCTTTGACATTAGTTTTCCCTACAAAAGTTTTAAGCAAACAACTTAAACTTTATAATCACAATGTTTTCTTTTCTTTAGGAGGCACAAATGAGAGTGATCACAAAGAGACTGCTTCTACAAGAAAATGCTTGCGAAAAACAAGAGTGGAGCTATTTTTTAGGGAGTATGAGGTTGGTATAGAAGACAAATGTTATACAAACCTGTAACTATGAGTTATGCCTATGACTCTTTAACATTACCTTGTGACTGTAAATGCTCAGGAAGAATAGATTTTTATTATTTTTTGGATTGATTTTGCAGAATGGGTTTTGTCTTTCTTTGATGGCTGCTATAACTATTATATTAAGCTTTGTCATGTTACTCATAATTTATTAAACTGTTATTCAGGATGAAATTGAAGGCCTCATCCATGAAAATGAGGAGCTAAAAAACAAAAATCAACATCTGGAGTCCCAACTGAAGACTGCTCTGGATCCCAGCTCTATCAACACAGAGGTAACTGATGACAAAAGAGTGGATTCCCTCATCCTGGATGAATTGACCAATAAGCTGCGGGCTGCTACTGATGCTTGTGAGAAAGTAAAGCAAGACATGGACAGGCTTAAGGAGGTATACTGTATTTAATGTATTCAGTTTGCAATTTATTTACAGTTAGTAACAGATTCTAAAACACCTTGTTAAATGAACTTTGTTACAGGCAAACAAAGCATTACGATCTCAAAACATTGACCTGGTACAAGAGAACATGAGGCTGAAAGCTGAGGTTGCAAGCAGATCTCCTCAAAAGTAAGTCAGCTATCAACCCCTGCTGAGGAATTGTAAGCTCCAGCATCTTTTCTTACCTGCTCATTGATGTTTAATACAAATGTGTAAAAAAATGCAGCAGTCAGACTAAAATCCCAGTTCTATTGTGTTCTATCACTTATCTTGATGTCATACAGTATTTTAAATCCATAGACTTTTATTTTCAAAATATTTGTGCATATAGCAGAATCATTGTGCATTTTCTAAGTATATAATAATGCTGATGTTTATTGCAGGTTTGGGCGCTTCACAGTAGCAGCCCTTGAGGCCAAAATCCAGCAGTATGAACGTAACATAGACCAGTTAAAACGGGCTCTGGAGCGCAGTGACCAGTATATAGAAGAGCTTGAGTCACGCATCAAAAAGTCAGATAAGAAAGGTGCTGAATTACAGGAACCAGTCCGGCAACGCAACAAGAGTGGGCCTGAAGACTTCACGCAGCAACAGAAAATCAACATGATGATGAGGAGTTTGAGTGACAACGAACGTCTGTCTATCTGCAGCAACCCAGAGGCAGACTGTCGGACATTTCCTCAAAACCATGGCTTGATGTTCCTGCCGTCAGGAAAAACTCCGACAGGAAAGCAGAAGAGTGAGGACTTGAACGGCATCAGTGTGGACTTCATGCCCTCCACTCCATCTTCAGCTTTTCGCTCTTTGACACTGAAAAGTCCTGGAGTCCGAGAGAAAAAGGTTGCATTTAGGCCTGGCTCTTATCTAAGGAGGCTTGATTTTGATGATTTTCCTAGTCCAAGTAAAGGTGGCACAGCAGGAGTCAGTCAGTTTATGATTCTAAATACGTTGAATCCAAACACTGAAGCTGACACCAAGTCCATGTGCTGGGACATCTGGAATAAATCTAAACCTCCTGAACAACCATGCCCTGGCCCAAGTAAAGAGAGCCCACTCAAAGGTGCAGCATTAGCTGGTTCATCTGACAATTATCAGACAATGAGTGAGGCGTCTATGGATGCTGCTTACCTGGATAAAATCTCTGAGTTGGACTCCATGATGCTGGATGGTGAGAGCCTCAGCAGTCGTGGTTCACAGGTCTCCTTGGTGTCTTCTCCTACAACAGATTTAGAAGCCACTTTAGTCTCAGAAACACAGATCACCTCGACATTTGTCCCTGTTCAGTGTGGCAAAGATGCATTGGACAATAACCAGCAAAACCAACCACCGTGTGAAACTACAGATTTAAAGCTTCCTATCAAAGAGGGTCACAAACGAGCCCTTTTACCTGCTACGAGCAGTGAAGGTGGTGGACCCTCCCAGACTGATGAACTGTCCTTTGAGCTGTTGTTTGATTCACTGGATGAAAACAGGGATGGTGCTGCATGTCACCAGGATCCAGACAAAGCTGGCTGTTCGTCCTATGGCAGTGATAAACCTGAAAACACAGGAGATAGAAACACAGTGAACATGATACAAGCAACAAAGAGGAAGTCCTATAGCCCCTTTACCACGAGCAGTCCCACTAAATTGTCCAAGCTCATGTGAAGGGATGCTGTTGTTTATAATCTTGTTTATATACAGTACAGTTTACATGAATTGGTGCTTTGTAACTAAATATTTCTTGCAAATTTTTGTGACCTGTAAAGACTGATTATTTTGCAAAGCCTGGCTTAGGACTACAGAAGAAACAGGAAAAAAAAAAAAAGGAAGAAAGCAAAATTGTGAAAAAATAGCTGAAAGAAAAGTGTCAGTTCTCGGCAAACTCAAAAAAACAAAAAAACAAAAAAAACACAAAACAATAAAAACTAAACAAAAAAACACCCAGCACATTTATATGTAAAAAGTAAATAAAAAATATGCAATCAAGCTCTTCGTGTTTGCATTTGACATTACTGGTAGTCATTACAGCAATACATTACATTGTGTATTGTTTAAAATTGCTTTTCTTTGATACAGATGTTATACATTTTCTCCTTGCAAGTCATAATAGGGCTTAATAACACATTCACATCATGACACACATTGGGGACCTCACATGCTCTGTAAATGTATTGCAACACAAAAGAGGCTTATTTATTATGTAAATTTAATGATATCATGTATGTTTCACATACCTCTAATCACTGCATGAAATTTTAATTGAACAGCCTTTGTGGTTTGGTTTGAATAAATGAAGTGTTAATTCATTGGGATTAATTAATTTGGGTAAATACTACAGGGTGATGCTGGTGTATTAAATCAATTTGTTTAGTGCTCATCTGATGGATCTTAATGAAAGCCAATGGGGTCATTTGTTTGGTGAAACTGTGGGTCAAGCCCATTTAAAACGCTGGTTTACATTATATATTTTACAAATTAAAACTTGCCCCCACTTTCGTATTCATTTGTATTAATGGACAAAAACAATGAACAAGCAATACGATTACACGGTATGGTGATATAATTATAATGTACACCTTGCATAACATTATTTAGAAACTTTTATACTTGTGTATAGTTACATGAACTATGTATCTTAGAAACTAAAAAGTATACTGACTGATAATGCTTAATAATAATATAATAAAGGAGTCTAAATTACCGTTTACATTAGTGATTTCGGGTTAAACAAATTTCAGATATTACTCAACTCACTTAATTAAATCAATGTAACTCGAGTGAGATTTGTGGTACTAAAGAAATTAATAAAACAAGCTGTGTTTTTAATAAGCTATAGGCCTAATAGTCGGTTCTATAGCTTTCAGTTAGTTGATACCATAGAGTATGTGCCTTTAACACAGTACTTTCACCCAGCGTGAGGGAAGCTACGTGAATCCTTGAGGAGAGAGGAAAAAAAAGAAAACGCACGCGTCTAGTCTCCAGATGTTGCAGCCCGTGCCCTGTGAGCAGTTTTTCTGTCAGCCTGCTGCTCGCTGTTCTGCCCGAGTATGTCTCGCGAGAGCAGCAGAGTCCGGGCTTGACGAGATCTGAGGCGCTCAGGTGTAAGAGGCTCTCTCATCCCCAGCAGTGGGAAACAGTAGACAGATAAGTGCGTCTGAGAGACTGCAGGCATCTCTGTGATCTCCGGGCTCAAGGCTGCTCCCGCGAACTCTACTCTGCATCATTAACCGGATAGGCAAAGGGGATCACTGTGTATCTATGACTAGTTTTCCAGCTCTTGTAGACGATTCCCCCCCTTTTTCCTGTGCACTTTAATTGGAGACGCTCGCCAAGATGATGTCCATGAACAGCAAACAGCCGCACTTCGCCATGCACCCTTCTCTACCCGAACACAAGTACACCACCCTGCACTCCAGCTCCGAAGCGATCCGGAGAGCTTGTCTGCAGACTCCACAGGTAATTTAAATCTCTCCAAAACTTGTTTTTTGTGTCTTCGTGCCTCCTGCATGTAGCGCGGTCCGTGCGTAATAACAAGCTCCGAGGCACATCCAGCTAAGACGCACTCTTAATGTATTTTTCATGTGTTCCACGGCAGTCATTCGGAAGTCTGTGATCTTTTTGAAAGCACACAAAGAGCTTTCTGCAAGACAGAAATATTATGCATGGGTCGTACAGAGCAGTATTTAGCTGCTTTCTAACCAAATGAGCAAAATTATGGATTACAAGGATCCCCACATCTGACATGATATTGCGATACTGTTCATGAACAAAATCACTTGGCATTTTATTGTTTATATGCATCTCCGTTAGACCCAGTAAAATGAATTGTGCATATTTCTTTAAAAAATTATATATATATTTTGATATTTAGGATTAGAAAAGATAGCTGGAAAATGTCCAAAATTAGTTCATTCGTTAGCCTTTCCCAAAGTCAAAGATGATTGTTTCCAGACTGTTTACTTTTCTTTTTGACAGGGTTGCTTTTTTGTTTTTAAATTACTTTATTTTACGTGGACTTGCAGCCAAATTGTTTTAGTTCAGTTGTGATAGGAATCTGTTTATCCCTCTTCCGCAGGTTTTGAGTCAGCGCTGTCTGTAACTTCAGTTTTTAATTGTGCATTTTACAACTTTGAATCACTTTATATAAACTTTAACACATTAACCCTGCTTCTTTCCTCTTTTGGTGTCCGCAGTTGCAGAGTAACATCTTCGCCAGTTTAGATGAGACTCTCCTGGCGCGCAGAGGCTCTGGCGGCCGTGGACATCGCCGTGTCCCAGGCCAAGACGCACCCGTTTAAACCGGACGCCACGTACCACACGATGAGCACGGTGCCCTGCTCGTCCGGGTCCACGGTGCCGCTCGCGCACCATCATCATCACCACCACCATCACCATGGCAACATGGAGCCCCCTGACATTATGGACCATATCAGCTCCCAGTCGCTCACGCTCATGACCGGGGGTGCGCACGATGGCACGGGCGGTGGAGGTGGCGGCGGAGGCGGAGGAGGTGGAGGGGGACTCATCTCCAGCTCCCCCGCTGGACACCACCACTCTCACATGCACGGCCTGGGACATCTGTCCCACCAGGCCGCAATGAGCATGAACTCGCCCCTTACGCACCACGGCCTTATACCGGGCCATCACGGGGGCGGCCAGGTTCCTAACACTGGACTGCCCTCCATCAATGACTCTGACACGGACCCACGGGAGCTGGAGGCCTTCGCAGAGCGCTTCAAACAGCGTAGGATCAAACTAGGGGTAACACAAGCGGACGTGGGCGGCGCGCTGGCTAATCTCAAAATTCCTGGCGTGGGGTCACTGAGTCAAAGTACAATTTGCAGATTTGAGTCTTTGACGCTGTCGCACAACAACATGATCGCGCTCAAGCCCATCCTGCAGGCCTGGCTGGAGGAGGCCGAGGGGGCCCAGCGGGAGAAAATGAGCAAACCTGACATTTTCAACGGGGGCGAAAAGAAACGCAAGCGGACGTCCATAGCTGCGCCTGAAAAGAGGTCTTTAGAGGCGTACTTTGCCGTTCAGCCGCGGCCTTCGTCTGAGAAAATTGCTGCTATAGCAGAAAAGTTGGACTTGAAAAAGAATGTGGTGCGAGTGTGGTTTTGTAACCAAAGACAGAAGCAGAAGAGGTTGAAATTCTCTGCTACTCACTGATGGGTGAAGAAAATTTACTAAAAGAAAAATGACTGAATTTGGGACCAAGGGACACTATAAAGACACCACTTTCAGTCTTTTGTCTCCAGCGGTTTTCCACGTTGGTGCGCAATGGGCTTTAGATCCCCACTTCTGAGGCGTCATTTATTATTTTCACGTTGTCGGTGAATGTGAAGTATGCAAATAACAGACACACATTTTGCTCAGTTTTTCGAGGGAAAGTTTAGTCGACATTGCCTTTTAAAAACACATGAAGAAGGTGATTTGCTTTTTGAAATAGCGAGTTCTTTCTATAGGCCTATTATTTGAAATATAGCCATTTAAGAATTACCTCATTGATTATTAACATGTGTTTTGGTTTGACTCTGTCGATGTTGGTAACTCATCAGTCTGTTCATTTAGTCATTTTATTTATTTATTATTTGAAGGCTGCTAATTCAGTTTCCTAATTTAATGGCTTCAATGAATTAGGCCTGCATGAAAACCGTCTCCCAGACAGAAACTGTCAATAAGCTGTCACATAGATATTTATATTTATTTTAAATTTGCACAAAGACCCTTTAGGTTATTAGATTGGTTAAATGTTTTGTATATAAAGACATCACTTTATAAATCAGGACAGTGATCCTGTGTTTTGGATAAATTAGGTCTATCTCACTATTTGGCTTCACACAAAGTTCAACAGATTGAGAGCCTGTCTGCTCCCGGGGGCAGATATCTGAGGATCATTGAGTTTGCAGTGCAAACACTATGCATTGGAGAAGTCACTGCACCATAGAGAAAGATTTACTGTAGACCTGATGTTGTGGGTGGTGTAAGTCACTGTTTAATGCCTGTTTTCACATTGAGACCACCACGTTGTTTGTCGTGTTAATTGTTACAGAAACGTTGTGTAAGTAATATTTTACTTTTGTGCACACACACAAGTATGTTTACAACTTGCAGCGACTTGTGCATCATGGAAATGTCTGTCTCCTTCCCTCACTTATGTCCACGCTCCTCTGTTGTCCTCTCATTGGTACTATTCATTCTGTAAGCCAAATTTAACAGGGAGGTGTGTTCCAGCAATCTTCTAATAAACTTAAAAAAAAAAAAAAAAAAAAAAAATCTCACACACACACACTTTTGCTTTTGTGAATGGCTTCAAGAAATGCGTCATTTTGATTCTAGCTAATGCGCGCAAAATTGTATAATATATTGATGAGTTCTGTAAATTAGAGGTATTACATGTTTGTTGATTATTTCAGACTAATACTGTGCCAAAGTTCAAGTTAAAGATTAGAAAATATAATAATAATTACTACTACTACTACTACTATTACCAATAATAATAATAATAATAATAATAATAATAATAATAATAATAATAATAATAATAATAATAATAATAATAATAATAATAATAATAATAATAATACTACTAAATAATAATAATAATAATAATGATGATGATGATAATACCATGTAATATATATTTTATTTCAAAGGGGAAAAAATCTGTAACCTCAATTTGAAAATAAGTCAAATCAGAACTGCTTAAATCTGTCAAAAGAAGGGAGGATTGAAAATTGACCCACTAACTGTATTTCCGAAACCTTTTACGCAAATTTCCCCTACTGTATTTCCACGAGTCGCCTTCATAAAAACACATTTAAAACGCAATGGTAATGTAATATTAATAACGCGTGCCGCTGATATCAAATGCAATATTTTTAGAGAGCTTTCAGGCTTCTTGTGGGAGCTGAGCAAAGAGCGTTTATCTCCACATAAAGGCACGCTCTTTTTTTATTATTGTTGGGGTTTCTTGTTGCTTTCATTTTACAGTATTATAAGAAAAATAATTAAACATGAGGAAAGTAGTCTCAGACTTTTAAATAAGCATTTTTCGTTTAGTTTTTGACATTTTCGCAATTTTGGGCCCATCTCTGGTTAAACTGGTTTCGCAAAATTGAGTATCCAGGAAAACTCGACCATTTTATTTCCCGTAAAAGTTAGCATCTGAACTAGCCACAGTATTTGCTACACTAACACTAAAGTGCCGCTCCTTCTAGTCCCGGACAGAAGACTAATGCATTATTGAAAGCCTATATCAAACAGCTCTGGGGTGCTGTCTCTCTGCACAGGGGCGCGGGAT